ATATATATATATATATATATATATTATATATATATATAATGGAGTTTTGATCATGGCATCATGGCCATTATCTTTTGACCACACCTTACAAATACTCCTGGAAAAGGTCCAAATTCTATCACCTGAATTTAACACACAAATGTGCTTCAGCCATATAAATATATATATATATTACTTATGTCAGAATCCCCCAGAGCAGGGATGGAGAGCAGATCATCACTGCTAGACAACTGATAGACTAAAGTTTATAGTCTCTGACTTTTGAAATCGATTCCCAAATTGATATTTATCTTGGGTTCAGATAAAACATGCTCTTTCTACATTTTTCTCTCTGGGATACTAATCTGGCCTGTCATTTTCTACATTTGCTTTTAAGTGGCATTTGCCCGTTTTCATTTTCTGCCTTCCTGCTACTAACAAAAACCTGGTATTAAGCATATGTTGAACATTCTGTTTTCCACTATGCAATAATATTTTCAGCTGTCTGAAACCTTCTTAGATTCTTACACTTCAATTGCAACATAAGAGAAGACAATCTGGTAGGCTTCCATGGTGCTTGGATCAAGAAAGCTATGGAAAATGTTGTTTGTATGGGAGATTGCAGATAGAAACAGAAACACTTCTGTAGCAATAAAATACCATTGATAACTAAATTTAGAGACATTTAAAGGAGATGGAAAAACAAAACATTTTCTAGGAGAAGGAATCTTTGGAGGAAATAAAAGTTAATTGTTGACATATATTTAATGTATTACGTAATACAGTTGAACACATTTTCTCAAATTGGCTTAGTTTGGCTTGTTGAATTCACATGTGTGACAGCAATCTAGTCAAATAAGAATGGACTACATGAGACTGCCTAAAATAATGTCAGGACACAGATTTTTTTCAAAAAAAAATAATACATACATTGAGCTGTCACCTTGTACCCGCCTAGAGGAGATTCATGTCCTTCCACAACATCAAAGCCAGCTGATACTAATACAAAGTCAGGGTTGAACTCAGAAGTGATTGGCATAATCACTGTCCTGAAGATAAAACAAGCAAGCAGTTAGGTTATTTTATTGAATGTACCAATTAAAACAATACCACAATTATACTTTAGCTACATGTTATATAACCATTTCCATGATCAAGGGTCTCTCTCTCTCCCTCCCTCCCTCCCTCCACTTTGTAAGAATTTTTAAAAGAGAAAAAGAATGATTTCCAGGTATAACATCTAGCATTACACACACATCTGGGCCTATTTTACTCCATTGGCTATAAAGATTGATTCTTAAGGGAAGTGACTAATGGATTACAAGGAGAACTCTGAAGTCTTAGTGGAAACCAAGATTGCTCCAGGTAGTGAGAACTTGGTGTAAATTGGAAATATAAAATTCGTAGAGGGGAGGGGGAATGTTTGCATTTCAAGCTTCTCTCTCTCTGTTCTTCATGTTTTAAAAAGTATGAAGCGGGGTAACTGTCTTAGTAAAGAAAAAAAGAAAAGAAAAAAGGGGAACCTAAAATCATGTAATCAAAGCCAGACAAGATTGTCAGAATTTTTCCAAGGTCATGCCTTGCAGGAATTTGATAACCACAACCCAGTAACAACACCCCCTGCTGGTTTTAGGAAGACATTTCTATAGTTTCTACCTCTAGTGAATCTATTAACTCTTCCCTTTCCAGTGTTTCTTATATTAAGGGTTGGATGTGTTATCTGTGTACAGTTTCTACTTTCTACAAGTGGAATATCTCAGTAAATGTATTTAAAATAACACAAATGTTGTGTGAACTGAATTTTCACTAGGGTTTCATTTAATGCTATTTCAAGGAATGACTTTGATTTACTATAAATGGTTTAATATTTCTTCTTATTTGTAGAAGACATTGTTAAGAATCTTAAAATTTTGACAACAGCAAGAACATGTAAGTCATTTGTTACCATTTGCTGTGTGTGTGTGTTTATAAAATTTGTGTCTGTGTGTATAGGTGTAGGTACAATTAATCTATTTTAAATATTTTTGATCTGATATATATTATGTTTCTTTACATTTTTATTATTTTAAAATTATGAACATCCCATCTATCCATCTAATAGACTTTGTTTTACTTAATCAAAGCTATTCCGGAACTGCTTCCTTCTTTCAAATAAACTAATAACTCTCTAGAATGTTCTTGGGAATCTGATAAGACACAGAGGCATACACTCACACAGAGAGAAGAGGAAAGAGAATGGGAGAGAGGGAGAGAGAGAAAATAGAAGAGGAAGAAAGACAGAGACAACCTTTCCAATGAATATGATTAAAGAGTCCAGTCTAGATAATGTTATCTAGCAAATAGTTATGGGATGGTTTCCAGTCACTGTGAAAATATCTAGTGTATTATTTTCTTCAAATGGTATTCATGTAAGATTTTTTTAAAGCAACATTTATCATTTATTCATAAACGTGTTTCCTTCCTATTTCAGACTTATTTCTTGAAGATTTATTTTTTTCAAATTATATTTAAGAGAGAATTTCAACCCATTACCCTTCCTAAATAGATTAGGCTGAAAGCCAGTGATTTGCATCAAATACTTGTTTGGTTTACAAACGGGATTTCTAAAACTAGTATGACACTTCAAATAGTGTAACTACACTTATTCTACACATGTGTGCATGCACATGCATGCAGTTTAAATTGTGATAAAATATCAATATAAAGTAATAAACCAGTCTCCTTTCCAAGATACGTAACATATATAGATCCTCTAACTAACTGTCTTTAGTTCAGTCTACTCTTCATTGAACTGAGCCTTGTTTTTGCTGGGCTTGAGATTTGTTCAACATTCAAATGCCAGATGCCTTACTGGTTGATTACCAATATTGGTTAGATAATTTGAAGGTTACTTCATATTTCCCAAACTTCTTGGATTTTAACTTTTCTCCATTTTGCAGCACTTGTTAAAAGTGATAAAGTGAATAATTAGCAATAGCAATAGCAGTTAGACTTATATACCG